TATTTTAGGGAAGGGTTTACAGAGTGTTCAGGGACTCAATACTAGACCAGACTCGAAGTGATCCTCCTGTTTACAGCCTTTAAGAGCTAGGATTACAGGCAGGCATCACCATGCCCAGTCTCAGTTGCCATCTGGGCACACCCTGGGGGCAGGGCCAGCACAGCAAGCCCAGGGATCGAACCCCTGGTTCCTGTGCATTGCAGGCACCTTAATCCACTGAGCTATTTGGAGAAAACAGTTCTTAATGAATAAAAATTGTTCAGGTGGTTTTCAAGTCAACAACTAGGTGTCATTCCAGTTCCAGTTTTCTAAATGTATAACCTTGAATAAGTTACTTGACCACTGTAGACCCACCTTACTCATCTAAAATGAAGATAATAAATAATAGCATCTGCCTCATAGGGTTATGATATTAGAGGAAAATGTATACCATGTTCAGTGAGGCACCTGACGTATGTCAGCCACTCACAGTTGCTTCTGTTTTCATCGTGGAAATCTTAGGAATCAGCCAACAAATCATTAGCAATCTGTTGTCTACTGGGACATGCTGACACTCTCTAGCAACTAGTTGGAGTCTAATAGCATCAAAAATTGGATAAGTTGTTCCTAGATTAGTGTGTTCATTAAATAAGTGATTGCTTGAAGGCTCATCCGAAGTTGCTGTTAAAATAGTACAGCTGACTGAATTCTAATAGTTGTCAGTTATTAACCAACCCCAAGATGTTAACTGTAGCATATATAATAACACACTGGCCTTCAGTTACAGGTGAAAGATGTGGACAAGATGGTAGATAAAGGGCTGGGGAGATAGCTCGGCAGTCTAAGCACCTGCCTGACAAACACAAGGTCCCAAGTTCAGTCCCCAATACTGCATACTGTGCTGGCCCAAGAACCCCAGCCACTGAAACCAGATGTGGTGGTGTAAGCCTGTAATCCCAGCACTGGGAGGTTGAGACAGGAGGGTCACTGTGAGTCTGAACTGCATAGTGAGACCCTGTACCAAATAAATAAATTAAAATTTAAAAACAGATGGTAGATGAAATATTGTGCCACGAAGCTCCCAAAGTCAATAAGCTTCAACAGTGTGAAGCCCCAAAGGAATTTTGTGTTTTAAATATTTCTTATGCAGAGAATTCTGTTCAGTTGCATGTATGTGCCTAGATTGGCTTTTGGTAATTGGAAAGGTGAGTTTAACTAGAAAATAGAAGGTATAATACACAAATCATTTGAACTCCTAACTTCATGTTTTGTAAAATGAAGATAATTCCTGCTTCTCTCTTCTGATGGTGGCATTATAGTAATATAGGAACTTAAAATGAGTGGATTTAGAAAGAAAAGCATTTTCCAATTTGGCATTACTGTTACACAGTTCATTAGCATTTTTGTTCATTGTGGAACAGTTTTCAGTTTGATGTGAACTAAAATACATAAAATTCAGCTGAGAAGTTATCTGCAAACTTGGTATTTCATTGATATAGCTGAACATATATATTCTTTTATGAGTTTCAGCCATTTGGGTTTATTGGTGATGTTCTAGATTTGTAATATGAAACTAGTCACCATTCACTGAGGTTCAAATGAGGCTTTTTTGTAAGTTGAGATAACTCTTTTAAAATTAGCTCTTGTCCTCCCTCTACAGGAGAATTTGCAGCCTTCAAGTAGCCACACCATCATGGCAGCATCTACTCTTTATTTCTTAACTCTTGTGTTCGTACAGTTCGTTAACATCAAAACACAGTTCTGTTCCTCAAATCTTTTTTTAAAGATACAGAGTTTTCAATGCATAAGCTGGTATGGAACAGAATGGAATTTCCTATCCATCAAAAGAGGAAAGAATGTTTTAGGAACCAGAATTCTTTGCTGCCAGTGTTTCTTCTTCAACACAAATACCACGTGCATACAAGTCTGCCCACTCCCGGGAAGAAAGAGGAGAGACCCTGAATTCTGACCTTTTGATGGTCAGGCATGATGGAAAGAAACTGCTGCTACAGCTTGGGAAATTTGCTATGGAAAGTCTGCCAGTCGACTTTGTCCTTCTAACCACCAGATCAGCTTGTGGCTGATCATCTGATGGGGCAGCCTCAATCACCAAGCACGGTTCTCTTTGCTGTTCTGGGATGTTTGTGGAGCTCTTTCCCTTAGCCACCACTGGTTCATTAATTTCTGAGGGATGGAATCAAAATGCAGCATACCCTTTGTGTGTGGCATAGGTTAGTGCTTGATAGATTTTCTCACAGTGCAGTTCTCTTATTTAAGAAGGAGGGTGAGGGGTAGGGAACGTGTGGGCAGAGCGCGAGGGAATGCTGCATCTTCTTCCTGACCTCCCTGGTCTCTGGCCTCTGGTTGCCTTGTTCCCCGGGTTCTGCCTCAGCACGCGGGCTGGACAGTGCCGGTGCACATCGCCTTCTTTTCTCATTGGGTTCAGCAATGAAGATGAGGGTTGGGGACTCGTTTCCTCCACTACGTAGCAGACTCTCAGGAAAATACAGTCTAAATCTTCTCTGAGCTCTTCCAGTCACCAAGTACTTACATGGCTGCTTTGTCCAGGGCACCAAATGCCATGGATAGTATCTGATGAACAGCCTACAAAACTGCTTAATAATAGTTTTGAATGTGAGGAAATTATGTAATTTAAATGTAAGGTACAGGTTTTCATTTCTGAGTTTCTTCTATTATATTTTTATTAAAATGCAAATAATTTTCAGATTGAATTGAATTGGAATACAATACTTCCCAATAGAATTATATATCCTTAAAATTGTATTTTTGTTATATAATCAACTTTTAAAGAAAGATCATTACCCTTTTCTCTATATAAATATGGGGAGTCTTAGCATAATGACAAATATTTATAATTTTTAAATTAATGGTACTTGCTGGATCCATACTAACATCTTTGCTAATAATCTCACTGTTTCTTCCAACTTATTCCTACACTACATCCTACATCCTCTTTCAAGCCTTTTATCTAGAATATGCAACCTAAAATAAAAATGGTGGTATCTCCATTCATTCTCTTCCTTTTTTCCCAAGCCTGGTCTTCAAAAGGTTGGGTATTGGCAGCTGAGTTAGTACCTGGCAGCAGATAGAGAACAGAAATATTAGGGATATTGGGACCAAAGGAAGGTGTGTGAAAGCCTGTCATCAGTTGCTTTTGTAGAGAGCTGCTGTGGTGTGAGAAGCTAAATCCAGCCTATCTTCATACAAATGGAAAATAGAACCTAGTCATAGCTTCCCTTGGCCTTTATTAAAAGATATCATAAATCACAGTAACAACAAAGAAAGTGACTAGATGGACTAATGGCAAATTAATGGCAAATATCTCCCTTATGGGGAGTCTATCATCATTTGTTGGGATTTAGGAATGGGAATTAAATGAGATGACCTTCACCTAACTAAGCCACAGCCAAGGATCTGAAAGAAATTCAGCAAGACCTAAAATAGATCAAGGAGTATGAAATTATTGGTCAAATGTCTCCGATTCTAACTCCTGGCCCCACTATCTATCCTAGCCTACTGCTCACTACCCTTCGATGACTTTTGCTAATTCCTGTCATCAGAGGATGGCCCAGTGAAAAGTGTTTTTAGCTCTTACGTGAACATAGCTGTGTCTTTGAAGATTTAGAAAATGGCAGAGCCAGGAATTATGCTGATGTGAAAAGCATCTTCAGCGCATGGCATGCCACCTCTTTTTGAAAAGTGTTGGTCATTTGTTCTCTCTAAATACAGCTCTATAGGTGCTTCTAAACATGGCTGGGTTTGCTTCGCCAAGACTCACTCAGCTCTCACACCCTGCTGAAGAAAGCTGGGTGTGAACCTGGCACAGGTTCAGGCCTCACCTGAGACAGAGCCAGCTCCTGGGGCAGGAGATTAGCATTGGAATTCGCTAACCAAATGCAGATGACACAGTTTTTTGGTTTTTTCTTCCTTTCATTTTGGAATAGGTTGCTGCTTGATTTGAGAAGAGGGAGCAGACTGTTGATAGCAAATAAAACTGTGTCCAGAAGCCAGACTCAGGGTATTGACAGATTTTTATAAAGAACTTTAAAAGTAGAAATAAAATGTTTAAACTTTTATTTCCATTAAGTAGTGTTCTTATTCTATTTACAAATAATATGAAAAGAGGTTTCCTTTTGAGTTTGACTTTTTTTTTTTTTTTTTTTTTTTTTTTTTTTTTTTTTTTTTTTTTTTTTTTGATGCTTAGACTACAGAAAGACTTGTTGAGCTCCTAAAAGAGTACAAGGAAGAAGTCCTTATTTGTGCAAAGCACTTTATGAGTAAATGGTAGAGACAGTGTGTGGCTGCTTCAGCGATCGCCTTGTCATGCTGTAATTGTCAGTCTTGTCTGGAAAGTGGCTGCAGTGCCTTCTGCCATGTGTTCTATTTTTGCTAGGGAGAATGAAGCCCTCTGGAATATTTGAGAGCAACAAATAAAAGATTATTTTAAATATGTAATCTTCCTGATGGACTTTTTTTCTTCATTAAACTATAGAGTCAAGGACTCATTTTGTTTCATTTTGTTTTTTGAGACAAGGTCTCACTGTATAGTTCAGGCTGGCCTTGAACTCACTGAGTAGCCCAGGCTGACCTTAAATAGTGGTGATCCTCCTGTCTCAGCCTCTAAGTGCTGAGATTGCAGGCATGAGCCGGCATGCCCAGCAAAGACTCAGACTTGTCACGGAAATAATACTGACTAAAAAGGGTAGTTTATAAAATAGACGTGTGAATAGAAAATCCAGTGTGATCATTTGTATTTATGAGCACCTTAAAAAAAGATTCTGTGTAGCGGTCAAATTCTGGTTCCTGGATCTGCCAGTCCTGATTGTGTTTGTGGTCTGGTGAGACATACTGGGCACCTTAGAAGATAAAGTCTCATCTAAATCCCATGTTATATTTATGTTGATGTTGGAGAAGAAAGAGCATTATATAAAGAGATTATTTAGCTTTGTCAGCCTGAAACTTTGTAAATACTTCCTTCTTCCACTTGGCAGTCGTGGCACTTCTGTCATACACTGTTCTCTGGTGTTCGTCAGACAGAGCGGGAGTCCCTGCACCCTCCTCAGATCACTGTCCCCACAGCACAGCCACCTCGCCAGCCTCTGCAAACCTCTTCATCCAGCATCAGTGTGAAACACATTGCAGGGTGCAGGTAACCTCTTCAAAAAACTACCTCCTCAGACTGGGGAAATAAATAGCTATTTATTTTAAAATATGAACAGTCAGGAGCTCTAGAACATGAAGGTGATTTAAGATTTTATGTGTACTTGTATCTGAACACACTCATTTTGTCCAAAAGGGCATTATACATTGAAATAGTGATAAAAGAAAAAACACAAGGTGTAGCTCAGAGTATCTGAATGTTTTCGAAAGCAGTACCAGATCTGTTTAGGGGTTCATTTCAGAATCTTAACCTGAAGTCAGTTGTGTGACGTTACGTGGTTATGGCATTACTTTGCTACCGGTGATGTAATTTTAATTTGCAGTAGATTTGGCAAGACTGTATCTTCATGAAGAATTAGCAACGGCTCTGTCACATGCGCAGACTCTCCCATAAGTAGACTGCCAGCTGAAGGGTAAGATGGATGCTGTTGACCAGGTGCTCCCTTGTCCAGGTTGGTGTCCCTACTGCTAGAATAAACATCAGCACCTTGCATTAGCAGATGTCACCACTAGGCTACCCAGAACCACAGCCAGCACTGGAAGGTGTGATCCGAGCAGTGAGTAGTCTAAGGTCACGCAGCAAAATGGTAGCGGCGAGGCTCCAAAATAGACCTTGCCAACTTGCCAAATGATCTTATTACTGTGCCTTCATGATGCAATAAAAAAGCTAAAATTTTAGCAGAAATCAGTGATTTATGAAGAGAGCAGCCACTCTGGTTTAACTCAGCCGTGTTACTATTTTTTTAGAGTGCAATTTAGACTGCAAAGGTAAATGCACTAAGGAGTTTATAGCCAAAATCATATTTAAAAATGAGAAAACAGGTAAATTTTCAGTGAACAAATTATTTTTTTAAAGCACATAATCCCTAGTATAGTGTCAGATATATTTATCACATAGAGCAACTAGGTTGAAAATAGAGTTGTGACATTTCTAGAGAAACTTTTTCTACTCCCATAGATTCTTCAAAGCATGGAACTTTTATATATCAGAAATGTTTGGGACGTTTTAAGAAACTGTAGCGTTAGTACTGTATGCTGGGCAGCAATCGTGTATTGAGTTAGGAGAAATTAAATACACAACAGAATTGGATTTGATCTGTTTCCAGAGTACTGCTGCCAATCTATACACTGATTTTTCTAAGTTTGAAATGTAAGCTTGCCTCCCAGGACTTGTTCACAAATGAGGCTGGCCAGTGCTACTGACTATGCTCTGGTGCAGAGTGGGGACCAAAGAGGGAGTCTCTGGATTGGTCCTCTGCCAAGGACCATTGGAATCCTGAGTGGCCTGGCCAGTGTGTGAGATGGGATGCGCTTTCTGAATCATGCCGCACCACCCCACGACAGATGGTGTGCTGTCTCTAGCTCAGCCAGCGGCTGTTACACTGAGGACTCCGGTGTAGCATCTCTGCCTACAGAGGTTGTAGATAGGCCAGAGAGTGACGTAGACAAGGTGTTCATGGTCTGTGCTTCTGGCTCTGGTCAAGTTGAAAACTGGTGTGATGTTTGTGATAGCAGTACACTAGATAATTAATTTTTACAGGTAACTTATTTTCATTTATATTTGGGCAGACACATGTAAATTGAAAGTCCTAATTTTTATTAATTATGGAAATAACAGATCTTTATTAGGTATTTTTAAGGTAGAACAGAATCCAAAGTTTTAAATTTTTAAATTAGGGTGACAGATTTTTTAAAAAACCAAAAACCACTTACTCATAACCTCAGTGAAGTGATTTAGATCCTTTATTTCAGCATCCACAATTTCAACTATTTAGTTGTGGGTTTGGTTTGGTCTTTTTGAGACAGGGTCTCACTGTGTAGTTCAGGCTGGCCTTGAACTCAATATGTAGACCAGGCTGGTCTCGAACTCCTGCTAATCCTTCTGCCTCCACCTCCCAGATGCTGGGATTACAGGTGTGCACCACCACACCTGGCTGTTTATTTAGTTTTAGATTACTAAATTTCACTAAAATGTTTACTTTTATTTAGCTGTTTTGACTAATTGCAGTGATATAACCAATTGTGCGTGAGGTTACAGCCAGTGTACTGTTTTTTTGTGGTGCAGTTTTGGTAAAGAATTCTGTAGGTTGAAGTACTCTGAAAACAGAACTGAAATATATTTATTTCTGTTAGTATAAAAAGTTTTTGTGCAAACCTTTGCTTCTCCTGGCAGGCTGAGTGCACCGTCTGGCACCCGTGAAGGTTGATTCCTTTGGCAGTGTGGGTGCAGGGGAGTCGGGCAAGAATGCGCACAGCAGCGGGCCAAGACTTGGTGGTTGGCAGGGCTGGCGTGGGGCCGTGAGGACGTGGCCGAGTCCAGGTTCTGCTTTGGCAGTCAGTTTCTTGCATTTGTGTGCTAAGCCTTTTTGAACCCATGTGTGTCTGGATAGAGTATGAGCTACATAGGAAGAAACTGGTCTTGGTATGAGCAGCAGATTCAAAGATTGGAGCAGATGGAGAGGAATGGACCAAAGTGGGTTGGGGAGTAGTTAAGTCTGGGGCTAAGGAAAAGCTAATGAGAGTGGGCAATAATTTGGAATAAAATCTGAGTGCAATAAATGTGCTTTTTATTCTAAGCTGTGAAATTTTTTTAATCATTCCTTCCTAATTCATTTGTGTATTTTCCATACCTGATTAAAACTAGCTATGTAAACATATGCCTTTTTATTCATGTTAATTATCAACATCCATGGCTAACCTCTCTCATTTATGTTCATGTTACATTAGTTTACATTATGTATGAGAGAGAAAAAGTGTCCGTACAGGCTGTGCTCTTTTCCTTCCTGTATTTTAAAATGCACTGTGTCTGTGTTTCCTGTGGCTGTGCCACACGGTGCAGCCTTGGTCTGGCCTTCATGATGTGGAAGACCACCAAGTAATGCACGCTTGTGACCGTCGCGCCTGTGGGCTCCGATTCTTTCCTCATTCAGCAGTTGCCGCTTCTCCTAGGCTAGGACTGTACAGCCAAGTGGTCAGGAGGTTGGTTTCAGCATTCATCAGCATATGTCTTTCTCAGTTCTGCTCAATAGTTGTGAATGTTCTTTGGTTTAGACCAAAGAAAAGGAAATGCCTCCCCCATTTCATGTACTTCTTGATTTAAGAACAAGTTTCATGCAAGGGAGAAGAAAGGAAAATGCTTCATGCTGGAACTGCAGTGAATTAACGGCTCCTGTCCACTACTCCGAACCTCACAGCACCTCACACACACATTCCTCGTCTCTAACTGCCGAAGGTTCAGGTTTAGTTCACTTCAGTTCCACTCAAGCCTTGAAAGGGTTCTCATGGAGCCTGGATGTACCCCGTGAAAAGATGAGAGCTTTTTCATTGTGTAAGATCTCTCTATACCTGCTTTGCAAAAATTACAATGGAGTAACTATTTTTAAAGCTTATTTTTCAATTCATAAGAAAAAGACATTTATTTTCAGTCAAAAAGATGTCTCCCTCATATTCCTTAATCCTCAATGTTTGCCTGAATTTTTTTTTTTTTCTTCTTCTTCCTCATACCCATTTCCTGATACTTTGGTTCTCTTTCCTGCTCAGGTCCCTTCATTTGTACTTCGGAGTTTTTCTCATGTAAATTTGTATAATGGAAAATATTGTTCAGTTTGGATAGAAAGCATGGAGAACTAAATAAAGATAGCTCAAAAATCAGATTGAAGAAAATTATTTGTGTAAAGTTATTTAAAAACTGTATTATATAAAAGGCAAAAAGTTCTATGTACTTGATGTGAATATGCGAATATTGCTATAATAAAGATTGACTGCATGGAGAAGTCTATCAAGATTATTTTTGTAGCATTTACATTCAATTAAAAGCAGTCAGTGGTTTTAACAGTCATTTCTTCAAGGCATTAGAGACAGAAATCTATACTGTTTCCTGTGTTGCACTGATTTCCATTGGAATAAGGGGATAGAAGTTGTCTAAATTCCAGCGTGGCCTTTTAAGAGGTCACAAATATTAAGATGTTGTGGCCTTTTATATCTTTAGTTTAAGATGAGCACTGTCTTCCACAAAAACAAAATTGAAGTGTACATTGTTTGTTAAACATAAGTTTATCTGTAGTAATTCACCTCCTTTTGATGTAAGTCATACATTTTAATAGTATCCACAATATGCACAAACATGTATTTTTTTAAACTATGCACTCATGTTTTCAACAGTTTTTTTTTCTGTATTTTAGGGAAGGGTCGACAGGGTGTTCAGGGTCTCACTAGTAGATGGGACTTTTAGTGATCCGCCTGTTTACAGCCTCCCAAGAGCTGTGATAACAAGCCCAGGGAACCGCGCAGTCGCAATTGCCATCTCAGCACGCCCCCGGGGGCGGGGCGGGGGCGGGGCCAGAGATGGACCGGCAGGCCCCTGCCCTGCTTGCAGGTGCTTTAGTCGGCTGAGCTATTTGGCTAGCCCTAACACATTTCTTTAAATGTTCATTAACCCAATTGTTTTGATTTTATGCACATGATTTCTGAACAAGACCTGATCTTGTTTGCACATGCTACTAAATCTTTTTCTTGATTATAAATCTTACATAACTGAAACACTGAATTTATGAACCCTCATGACCTAAATTTTCAAAAACGCCTCAAAGACAGGGGATCTGGTTTTAAAGCTTCATGTGGAATGTCCTAAGAACAGTGTGAACAGACAGCACAAGAGTCCCCAACAAAACGTAAGCTTAAAAAATAAAATAAAATAAAATAAAAAATAAAATAAAATAAAAAAACGTAAGCTTAGGAATGTTTTCAGATCTTACTGGTTTTTTTGTTTTTTTAATTTAGTACAGGGTCTCACTACACAGATCGGACTTGTAGTGATTCTGTTTTTCAGTCTCCCAAGTGCTGGGATTACAGGCGTGCACCACCACGCCGCCTCAATTGCCCATGTCAGGGCTCCCCAGGGGCGGGGCCCACACGGCATGCCGGGGATCAAACCTCTGGCCACTGTGTCTGCCTAAGCAGGCACTTTAATCGGCTGAGCTATTTGGCGGGCCCTCAGATATTACTCTTAACATGCTGTTATAACTATTTTCCTCTGAACTAGTTTTTTCATCTGAAAATGTGTTCTATACTACCTTACAGCCTGATTTAAGAGTAACTGTGGCCTTTCTTAATGTTTCATACAGTAAGTGTTCCCTAAAATTTGTCTCAGAATTATGGGTTCCTTGGTTGCGTTGCTTTCCAGAGTCTCACTATGCAGCTCGGACTCGTGAGCCTCCTGTTTACAGCCTCCCCAGCACTGAGATTACAGGCGTGCTCCACCCCACCAGGTCCCAGCTCAGCACGCCTGGGGGCAGCGTTGGTGAGGCACGTGGTACTGACCCCTGGTCCCTGCACTTGCCTAAGCACCTCTGCACCTGCCCCAGCAGGCGCCGAGTCCACTGAGCTATCTGGCCCACATGGGTGTGTTCACTGCTATAAGATGCTTTTACCAACACTGCCACTGGCTCTTCTGGTCTATGGAGGTTCCATTTCAAGTTCAAGACCAGCCTGGGCTACAAAGTGAGCTCAAGGCCAGCCTGAACTACATAGCCAAGACGCTCTCTCAAAAAGACAAAAAAAAAAAAAAAATCTTAGAATAAGCTGGCCCAAGTCCTCTTACACCGCTGAACAAGCTCTGCCTAGTCTTTTGGAGCCAGGACCCATCCAAGATCATGATGGTGGTTATAGAACTGGATCCAAATGGCTGGTGGCTCTACAGCAGTGAGTTCAGACCTCAGGTGGACACTGCGAGGTCTACGCTAACCACCGCCAGCACAGATGGAAAGCAAAGGCCCAGCCGCAGAAACAGGCCCACATGCCAATATGGAGGTTCCCATTTCCTTGACTGATGTGCCCGAGTCAGCTTTTTCCATAAAATTACTTCCAGGGACCTGTGCAACGAAGTTTCTAGATCTTCATGGAACAGGCAGCACTCTTCACATACCACCTACACTGCATAACTCTGTTACCCAGCTGTGTTGACACTGTCACTTACACATGTTGAAACTGGACACCTGATCTCCACTGCCACCAGGAATTCCCACCACTGCCTTTGCATTCACAAGAATACCTCTCTACCCAGCTAAAAATCCCTGTAAATTTACTTCTAGTTGCTCAACAGTTAGAAACATGCTACATGCATTCGCTTTGCTTTGTTTTGCAGAGGGAGGTGCAAGCAGCAAGTATCTGTTGAACACCCAGAGCCTAGTCTGTCCCAATACAGGGGCTTTCCTTCAGAAATCTAGCTGGCAACCCAGGTTCACCACAAAGAGCCTAACACAGTGGTCTAGAACAACTGATTCCACACGCCAGGCCTAGCTCTAAGTTTTTCATGTTAACTCATTTAATCCATTTGACAAATGAGGAAATTAAGGGACAGATCAAAATAAACACTGTAATTTGCCCCAGCTGACAGCAAGTGAATGGCAGTCCCAGGACTAGAACCAGCAGGTCTGACTGGGGCCTGAGCTCCTAAAACAGTGTAACAGTTTTTCGTACTCCCAAGGTCAGACCCACTAGTAGACAGGCTCAGTGTGCAGACCAGACTAAAGAAAAAGTATCAGTGTGCATCACAGGCTGTGAGCCACTATTGTTCAGGTATGAAACACACAGGAAGTTTATTCTAAGGTAAGATCAAAAAGGTAGACTGCTCTGCTGTCACCTAGTCCATCTCTACCTAAAGTCAGTGTCCAGAATTTGAACTTCCTTTCGCCCATGAGCCGTAAGCCTGACGAATTACCCAACAATGCGCAGGCTCAGCTACACCTTACAAAATGAAGATAACGAGGACCAAGCACATCAGCACAGAATGCATTTATCATAGTATCTGGTCCTGTTTCCTGCATACGCGGCCATCAGTCAAGTGGCACCCTCTCCCACTGACCTTTTCTCATCTGCTACACAGTAGTGTGGAGCCTATTCCTCTGAGAAGCCTGGGACAATAATCTCACTGATGAGTGGCAAAGGAGAAAACAAAACAGATCTAAAAAAAGAGAACCACGATGGCTTTAAAACTCTGGCGATGAAGTCAGCTCCCCTCGGGAGGTGAACACGAGCCTGCAGAAGTACCTGCAGCGCCCCTGCTGTGGGAACAGGCTGCTGGAGCCATGGGGAGGAGGACCCGTCTACTCAGGATTGTAGCACCAGCGGAAGCTGGACAATACCTAGAAACAAATTTCAGAAAAACTGAAAAGCCCTGTTTCATTCCTCTGACCCAGTCAGAAGTGACTCAAGAGTCCTATGATGGACACACCCACAGCAGGTGCAGAAACACTGAGTGGCCTATGCTGACCCCTAACCTCTGGGTACCCAGCTCACAGAAATGGCCTGAGTGGCCTCATCACAACCAGCACAGGTGATGGAGACATGCTGCGGTTCTGCACGCCCTCTGTGTGGTCAGGCCTGACCAACCTGCTTAGCAGTGCGTGGTGCTAAGCAAGCAAGTCCACCTCCGCATCCTCCATGTCTTCGCTCATAAATGAAACTACGTCCGCATCCTGGGGTACCCACAAGGCTTAGCTGAACAGGCACGGGTACTTCTCAGCAAGCAGCTGGAGCGTAGAAAATAAAATACGCGTGTCATTATCAGAAACGTGACTCAGCTCATTCTTAGCCAAACTGCTTTAATTTACAATTTTCATGTACAACAGGCAGTCCATAATTTCTTGACATTCTCACCTGGCGCCTGCCTGTAGGAAAACAAAAATGGAAAGCATTAAGTACTTTTATATTTACAAGTATAGTTTTGTTATGGAATTATAATATATAAGCATTTATTGAGCTCTGACCACGTGAGTGGATTTATACAGAGAAGAGGCAAATCACACTTTTTCTTAGTTTATATTTGTCATGAAAAAAATAAAGGAAGCTGGGCATGGTGGTGCACACCTTTAACAGGAGAATCACTGTGAGTTCGGGGCCAGCCTGGGCTACCAAGTGAGTCTAAGGCCAGTCTGAACTCCATAGCAAAACTCTGTCTCAAGAAGATGAAAAATAAGGGCCAGCCAAACAGCTCAGCAGAGTAAAGCGCCTGCAAGCAGATGCAGGGGCTGGGGGTTCGATCCCCGAGCCTGCTGTCCCGGGTCTGGCACAGAACTGACAGAATCAGTCGTCTTCCTGTTTTGTTCTTGTGCTTCAGACTGAACCCAGGCCTTGTGCAGGTAGAAGTGCTCTCAATATGTCGTCCTTGATCAGGGAATGGGACCCAAAAACAACCCAACTTAGGAGAAACTCATGTTAGCAAAAAGGCGATAAGACCAGAGGTCAGCACGTGTGAAAAGTTCTTAGGGCAGAAATGAGACACGCTAACAGGACTGCCTGTGCCTCCAGCCGCAAGAAGACCTTTCCCCAGGACCTCAAAGGCAGAGTCAGACAAACATTTATGACAAAAGGTGGATGAGAGCTGAAGAGCAGGAAGTCGAGGCCCACCTCCCTGGGCAGAGCCGGCACACACTCAGTCCTCATCGTCAGGAAGGATGCCCAGTTCTTCGTCCGTCCACTGGGAAGGGTCCGGATATGGAAAGTGACCCTGAGGACAACCATTCGGAACAGAGTACAGTCAAGAACCCACTGGAAACTGCAGAGAAAAACCTAGTCATAAGCTTAACTGCAGCCCCTGACAAGCACAATGGTCCAGCGCTTCAATCTATAACTACATGGGGGGCACTTTCAGGGTCCCAACCTAAGCCACTGGTGTGTCTGTGATGGAGGCCAGCAGGAAGTGGAGGCAGCAGATTTCAGGGCTACTGCACACCTCAACAGTGCCCTGACGTCCTGGAAAGGACTGCAGTCGCCAGACAGGGTGCTGCACACCTAGGATTGCCGTAAATTCAAGGCCAGTCTCAATTAGAGTAAGACCCTGTCTCAAAAAAAAAAGTTTGAGGGCTGGGGAGATGGCTCAGTAGAATAAGCACATGCCTGGCAAGCGCAAAGGCCTTGTTCAATCCCCAGTTCTGCAAAAAAAAAAAAAAGAAAGAAAGAAAGAAAGAAAAAGTTTGAAATCCCCCTTAGTTCTCGCTGTGAGATGTGGGAGCCTCAGGGAGACATGAGCACCTGCAGCCCTGAGCGAGAAGATACCTGGGGACAGCACTGCCTGATACCTACAGCCATCTCTACTACCTCACCTGCAGTCGAACAGGGCGTTCGCACAGACCCACGCAGCTCCTTCCTGAGAGGCACGAGCAGCCCTGAGCAGCTCTTAGCCGTTCTAAGATGAATGGGATATTAAGCAACCGCATGCTCCCAACATCGTATAAAGTTTAAATGGGAGACAGTCTTCCTATCCTGAAAATAAGCCCAACTATACAAAAATCCAAAGTACTCTGGAGGCCTGCAGGTTAGCTCAGTTGTTTAAAGTGCCTGCTTGGGCAAACTCAGTCAGGCGCAGGGGACCACGGTTTGATCCCGAGGTCCACATGCGGCACCAGACCTGCCCTTAAGGCAGCCTAAGCCAGCCAAAAAAAAAAAAAAAAAAAAAAAATTCCTTCTCAAAGTACTCTGGGGTAGGCCTGACAGTGCGAACAGCGCAAAGGCAGTCTGGCTGTGTTTTTAACTCAGAGGGTTGGTCTTCATAACCCATGGGCTTGCTTGTGGCACAAAAGATCCTTCAGGGAACCAAGGGATGGAGGGAAGGGGAAGGGAATGTCAGAGGATGTAAAAAGAACTAAGATATGATACGTACATGTCTAAACTCCCCAAGACAAATGTAACCATTATGTACTACAAACTTGTGCCAATTAAAACCATTTTTAAAACAAAACAAAAACAAAAAAAAGTACTCTGGGTTTCTTGTCTTTTTTGGTTACTGTTCTGCTTGATGCCAGGGACTGAACATAGAATTTCATACATGCTAGGCACATACTAAGTCACTGAGCTGGGCTGGGGAAATAGCTCAGCAGTCTAAGTGCCTGGCTGGCAAACACAAGGACCCAAGTTTGATCCCCAACACCACATGCCATGCTGGCCCCAGAACCCCTACGACTCTGAAATGTGTATCAAGACCAACCAATCAATCAATCAATCACTGAGCTACACACCCAGCCTGTGCTCAGAATCACAGCTATAATTTCCTAGAGAATGGAGTCTATACAAATACGAAGAGGCTCAGCCAAGGCTAACCACAGGGTAGAAAGCCAGCAAAACTAACTTTCCTCTCAAGACAGAATAACGTACATCTTTCTCCCCAATGCTGGCTGCCCTGGGCCTTTTGGCAGAGGAGACAATATCTGTCATTTAAAGTAACTGAGATGTGAACTATAATTAAAGGGTAAGAGAATTCATTTCTACATTTCTTTCCATATTCAGCAATCTAACGGACACCTGAGACACAACCACCCAGATGCATATTATCATGTAAAACAGTTTAAAGGGCAACACATTTTCCTACAAACACATGGGCAACGTGGTGGTGAAGGGATGGATCTACCTACACAAGTCTTCAAACAGAAAAATGAGCTGTTAAAAGATCTTCCTGCCCCCACCCCGAAAGGATGAGAACCGTTCCCTCCCTTGCACTTACCAACACGGCATCTGAGTCATGCCAGAAGCGCCACAGGATCCAGAACCACATGGCTGAGCTTAGGACCTCGGCTTGGATCACCTCAGACCTGGTGGGCTGGGAACACTCTCTGTATCGGGGCCAGGCACGCGCACTGCCACCAGCACTAGGAGACAGAGCACATTGGACACGCTCGCCATGCTTTCTAAGTAGTAAGTCATCCAAACCCTCTGAGTGTCTTCTCTTCCGCCAAAATACAGACAGTGATATAGGTCTGCAATCCTGTGTACTTTCTAGCTTGCTTTCTACACAAAGCAGCAGAAATGTCAGCATTACTAGGCATTGAGGCACACGCCTATAACCCCAGCACTCGGAGGCTGAGACAGGAGAATCACTACCAGTCCAAGGCCAGCCTGAACTACATACCAAGACCCTGTCTCAAAAAAGGAAAAGAATGCCAGCGCTATGGTTTCTCATTATTTGTTGTTTTGCACCAAAAATATGAATGCACTAATTATGGAGAACTGGCCTCAAAAGTTTTGGTTAAGAAACTAAACCTGCAGTAGGTCACTAACTTATCCAGAAAAAATAAATCAACAAACTAATGTCTTATTTAGCCATCTATTTCAGAAACAACTTATGCCCTCTGTCTCTATTGTGTTCTTTATTGAAATCCAGCAGCACAGCACCTGCCTGGCAAGCGCAAGGCCCTGAGTTCAATTCCTGGTTTAAAAAAAAAAAAAAAAAAAAAGATGCCAGACATGGTGGCACACATCTGTAATCCCAGCACTCGGGAGGCTGAGGCAGGAGGATCGTTGCAAGTTCAAAACCAGCCCTGGCTACATAGTGAGCTCAACACCAGCCTGGGCTGCATAGCAAGACCCTGCCTCAAAGACAAAAATAAAGGAGACCACCACAGGGGAAAGATGACTCACAATGCCTTCCTAACACGCTAGCAGATGGGGAGATGGCTCAGTAGACTAAACGCTTCCCTGGCAAATGCAGGGGCCTGAGTTCAATCCCCGGCACCACAAATAAATAACTAAAATAAAATAAAACTAATACGCTAGCAGCTCCAAACAAAGCAAAGAAACAGTATGAGTAAGGCTTCTGTGGAGGTTTTTCACTTCTTTGACAATTTTGACAAACTGGCACACATCCATAAAGGCTATATAGTTTATTTAGTTGGACTGTAATTATTATCACTTGACTCAATTTATACTTAATGAAGCTATTTCTAAAAATGCTCTTTAGGGCCCCGGGAGGTAGCACAGTAGACTAAGCGCTTCCCTGGCAAGTGCAGGGGCCTGAGTTCAATCCCCGGTTCCGCCAAAATAAGTAAATAAATAAAGCTCTTTAGCCAAGGGTGGCGGCTTATGGCTCTGACAGTCCCAGCACTTGGGAGGCTGAGGCAGAGGACCACTGCGAGTTCAAGGCTAGCCTGGGATACACAGTGAGACCCTGTCTCAAAACATCAAAAGAATGAAAACTAAAAGTCCTCTTCAGCAGATATATGTATGCTAATAAACCAAAATGGATACAAACTTTTAAAGAATTACTAAATAAAATTTGTTCCCCAATTTCAGTCCAGATAGTAATGAATTCAGTATATGAATTTTCTTGTACAACTTTTTATAAAAGCACATAGTCCCTGTTACCATGATGTGTTTCTGATTCTGAATGGCAAAGTTCCTTTTTTTTTAAATCTTTCATGAGGGCCAGCAAGATAGCTCAGTGGACTAAGCACCTGCTTAGGCAAGCACAGGAACTGGGGTTTGATTCCTAGTACTGCGTGTCACGCCAGCCCTGCCCCCAGGCACACTGAGCCAGCCACCCCGAGTCTGGGCGTGGTGGTGCATGCCTGCAATCCCAGCACTAGGAGGCTGAAAACAGGTGGATCACTGTAAGTTGGAGACTCGTAGCAAGACCCTGTACCAAATACATAAAAATCAGGGTTTGGCTACATAGCTCGGACTCGTAGTGATCCTCTGATCTCAGACTCCCCAGCACTAGCATTACATGTGTGCACCACGACACCCAGTTTCAGTGGCTGGCACGGTGCATCCAGGGTTCTGGGACCAGTTGGTAGGGGGATCGAACCCCAGTGCTTGTGGTTGCCAGGCAGGCACTTGGACCACCAAGCTATCTCCCCAGCACACGAACAGCAAAATTCCTAAGGTTTGCTTTTGGGGTTTTACGGTTTTGCAGTTCTTGACCTTGCTATGTAGCTCAAGCTTGTGTTAAACCTGGTGGTCCTCCTGCCTCCTCTCTTGAATGCTGGGAATACAGGTGTGCAACATCACACCTGGCTACATTACCTAGGACTGTTTTTATCTTCTCCCACTCTAAAAATTAGCTGTTCTATGAGTGTATTATGTGCCTGGTACTACACTGAACATTTTGTAAGCATTACTGTATCTCATTTAATTTTCCTAACAACTTTATGATTATAGGGTCTGTGTATAGGTTGTGAGGTAGATCCTATCAGTTTTACAAGTACAGACACAAGTACTGCTTGATGACTAAACTTAAGATTTTAAATATTACTGCAAACACCATTAGTCATGCCTTCCTTGTCTTAGCCAAATCTTGGGCTAGAGATGTAGCTCAGTTGTAAAATGTTTACGTAGCATGCACCAGGCCCTGGGTTCCATCCCAGGCCGCACCACATTTTTTACTTTCCAGGCAAGTACTCTACCACTGAGGTGCATTCTCTAGGCTTTTTCAAAAATATTTTATTACTGTCAATTACTTCTATAAAATACAGGGTTTCAATGTTTTCATACACAAAAACATACATTTTTATCATACCCATCCTCCCTTTTGCTCTCCTCATAACCTCCTCCCACCCCATCCTTTTCAAATTTTGAGACAGGAGTTCACTGAGTTGCTCACGATGGCCTTGAACTTTGGATCCTTCTGCATCAGTTTCTCAAACTGGGATTACAAAAATGGACCACCAACCTGGTACAACTTTTTGTTGTTGTTGTTGTTTTGTGCAAGGTCTATAGGATCTCACTACACAGACCAAGCTTGTAGTGATTCTCCTGTTTTCAGCTTCCCAAGCGCTGGGGTTACAGGTGCGGGCTACCATGCTCCGCCAGCTCAGCACACCCCGGGGGCAGAGCCAGCACAGTTGGCTGGGAATCGAACCTCCAACCCCTGCATCTGCCTAAGAAGACACTTTATGCACTGAGTTATCTGGCTGGCCCTCAGACCATCTTTTTATTGACAAATTTTCCTATGCTCCTTAGCTAGTTGGGCACTCCACAACACTGTCCTTGGGGCTGGTGAGATGGCTCAGTGGTCTAAAGCACCTACTTAGAACAAGCTAAGCCAAGCAAAGCACAGGGACCGCGGTTCAATCCCCCAGCACCACATGCCAGCTCGCCCGCCCCCTAGTGAGCTGAGCTGGCCACACAAAAATAAATAAATTAATAAATAAATTAATATTTAAAAAATAAAAAAAATAAAAAAAATAAACCACTGTCCTTGATGTCATCTATGACATCATGAGGGTGCTGGCTATCCACATTGCAGCCCACAGACTAGGCGGTCCAGGATCTCTTTAATGGTTCTACGAAGTTCAGAATCCAAATCAAGATAAAACTTTTTTCTTTAAAGATAAAACTCGGGGGCCTGGCCCTAGCTCAGGCCTTTAAGTGGCTGCTTCCACAAAGCTGTCAGCCTCAGGTTGCTGGAGTTCGAACCTCACAACTCTCCCGCTGGCCAAAAGTGCCCTGAAGGCGTTCGAGGAACAAAAAATAAAAATAAAAAAAATAAAGATAAAACTCTTTAAAAAATAAAACTCTTACCACACAATTAATTCCATCTTTGTGAGAATATTTACCCAATATATAACATTTATTTTGAAGGCTCTACATAAAGTATTGATTAGTTATGGAAGATATAAGAGGTTATTTTTTCTGTAGGGCTTTATTATGTATTTTTTCACATATTGTCTATAATGGCCTCAGATACCAATTATATTTAACAGTATTTACTCAGAATCTATCTGCATATATTGCAGTCTGTAAACAAATCATATGGAACAATTCATACAGTAATAACAGATTTCCTCTTTGATAGCTTTTAGCTACAAGCTAAGGATATGGGCACATCAATAAAAATCATTAAAATAAACTTTGCTTATAGTAGGACTACAGTTCCAACCCATCCTATCCACTCTCTACATTTCTTTCATTGCTAGAGTGCTATTATTATTTTTTTTTAAATTATTTATTTATTTTTATTTATTACATTTATTTATTGTGTGTGTGTGTGTGGCCAGCTCAGCCCACCAGGGGGCGGGGCTGGCTGGCATGTGGTGCTGGGGGATCGAACCACGGCCCCTGTGCTTTAGCCAAGCTTGTTTTAAGTAGGTGCTTTAGACCACTGAGCCATATCTCCAGCCCTAGAGTGCTATTATTAAACTGTAAATTGAAACACTGAAGTGGTAATCTTTTTGAACAATGATTAGAAAGAGATCAGTTTTAGAAAAGAACCCATGGCATAACAATGGTCATAATTTCAAGAAATGCAAAAATCCAACAAACACCTAAATAACTGTTATATATGGACCACATTAACTCTACTGCGGTAACCAAATACCCTGCACAACCTCCAAAAGCAAGAGAGAGAGAGAGAGAGAGAGAGAGAGAGAGAGAGAGAGAGATACTATTTTTTAAAATTTGTTTTCCAAACATCATCCACCACCTACAAAAATAAAGTCTCAACCAAAAGCAAAATCCATGGAAAAATAATGTGGCTGGTGATGCAGGGGCGGAAGAGCACTGACCTAGTGGCCCACAGGGCATGGTCCATCCCCTGCACCCTATCACCAAGTATGGGGCTGGGAACAAGGTAATGGACAAGAGTAAGGCTGGGGATGCTGCTCAGTGATTGAGCGTTTGCGGAGAGTGGGTGAAGTCCTAGTTTGATCTCCAGTGCCAAAAGGGAGGCGGGGGAAAAAAGCCTGAGAACCAAGCAAGATCTGAAGCTGCCAGTTATGAGAGTCCTTGAACTTTCACCCTGTGAAAAGCTACAAGAGGTTGTGGACCAGGAGATGCCGCCTGGGAAGTCGAATTCATTGCTAAAGGATAAATACCAAACTATGGAGAAGGAAACCAGAATTTGTTACTGGAAGCCAGGCATTAGGTAGGTGTGCACCCAAACTCACGCTTAAGTAGGTTGGGCCTTTGTGGTCCAACTCCCCACCCCAAGAATTTAAGGTAACTGGACTGGTGGTGCCCTCAGGCTACAAGTAAGCTCTCAAAGAATCCGAAGACAAAAGCTCAGGGAAGACGATCTCACAAAAAATAAGACACCCTAAGGAAGAAAACAAAATAAAAAAAGCATATACAAAGAAATAATGGCTGTTCCAACATAGGTTTTTTACTAGTCCTAATCCAGGACCACTAGTCTCCACCACGCTGCCGCACCATCCGGGGGTCCACATCCCACCTGCCGCCCCCAGGCGGACCACAAGACCCAGCATGCTTCGCGCTGAGGCAACGCAGGGACACGCCTCTGCCACCCCCCGCCCGCCCGCTCCAGCCCCAAGGTGAGCGCGTCTGAGCGCCGCGCCTTCGCCGCAGCCCTGGCCACCTCCCCGACAACTCACTAACGGACTCCGCCACCTCCGCCACTGCGACCTCGGAAGAGGCGGCCTCCCACGCGCGCGAAAGGCGCCAGCCGGGTCAGAGCGGACATGCTCTCTCCACGTCCCACCGCTGTCCCAGGCCGCTCCGCCCCGCCCCGCCCCGCCCGCTTATGTCATTCCCAGGCGCCGCGCGGTGACGTCACGGCGTCGCCCTTTTTAACGCGGGCGGCGCAAGCGCGGTAGACCTTTTCTGGGCACGGTGGGCGAGGGCTACATAAAGGCGTGAGCTCTTTGGCGATTATTTGAAGGCCCCCGAAGGGAGACACAGGCCAACCTAGGGGCTCCTCGTGACGCGGTGTGGCCTCTTCCTCGCTACGCCTGAGCTGCTGAGAAACTTCCAACGCTGAGCTTTGGTCGATCGAGGTGTCCTCGAATGTGCACCTGCCTGCCCTCCTGAGCCCTGGCCCTTGGGACCTCGTGCCACCCCCATGTCCTTTCGGAATTCTCGTAGCCCCCCCCCTTTTTTTTTAAACCCTTAAACCATTCAAAAATACAAATCTGAGCACACAAAACGCCATCCACACACTTGGATTCGTTGGCCTCACACACTTATGTGCCCGTGAGGTGACCACATGACCACAGGCCTGCAGTGAAGGCCACCGCAACCTGGGGTTATGGCATGTCCTGGCACACACCAATGACGTGAGCAGGTATCTGTCATCACCAATGACGTGAGCAGGTATCTGTCATGGAGGTAGCGCTGGGCTCCAAGGCTGGGTCAGGTGTGGGGGCCGTTGTGTCTGTCCTCTAGTCACCAACACACATGCTTGAAGCGCTTCCCGGGAATGAACTCTTGGTCCATGCGAGGCCAGAGTGCCCTCGAAAGACAGCATGATGGGGATGTTCCCTTCAAGTTCCCTGCAGTCTGTGGAACGTCAACTTGAGGTCCTCCTCCCTAGAGAGGTCCTCCTTTCCTCCACGCACCTTCAGGAAAGGTCCCAGGGTCAGGACACTGTGTGCCCAGCTTGTGGTCCACAGAGCTCAGCTCCAGCTCATACCCATCATCTCCCAGCTCACCTGCAGCCTCTTAGGCCACCAGGATGTCCTTTTCATTTGCAGCAAACATTTCCCAGTCACCTCTGGCCTGCACTGTCACTCCCAGAGCAGAGACACCTGCTCGTTCTGTCTGTGTTCCAGGTGCTTCTCCATGTTGAAGAAGATGCTGGCCATGTTACACTGCTTCAGGTTTTACAGTGTAATCTTCCCTGGACACTGCAGCTTGACCAGATCCACAGTTCTAGAAAGGCAGTGCCTCCATGCCCACGCTGTGCAGGTGGCCACACTGCTCCCCATAGAACAGCTCAGCCGTGAATATCCCCCAGTCCCTGTCCAGGTCCATGCAGCAGAACCAATACTTGATGTTGATCAGAGTTTTCTTGGCCTCTTCGGAGATAAAAACCAGACGATTCTGGCATGGCTGATATTCCCCTACTGCACCTGCCTCACTGGAGTCACAGCTCCTGCGATGATCCCATGGATCATCCTGGCAGAAATGACATGGTCATCATGCCCAGGAAGGTGCTGCACCTCAATGAAAAGGTCATGGTCAGTGTTGAGCTCCCAGAACTTGCAGTAGATGACACAGAAGTGCTGCTAGGGGCTGGGCATGGTGACACATACCTCTAATTCCAGCATTCAAGAAGCTGAGGCAGGAAGATCACTGTGAGTTGAAGGACAGCCTGAACTGCATTGTAGGGAGGGCTGAAACTTGAAATACTTTGGTCCTGAGGAAAAATATCTTGCTTGAGACAATTTGAGGTCATCAGCCACTAGTCAGCCTTGCATCTCCTGATACTAACTTTGCATAAATATAAGTAAACACCCCTATTGTGGCCGTCCAGTCCTCTTTTTCCATCCAGATAGAAGCCACTCCACCTGACCTTAGTTTTCAGCTCATCTATATCTTCTAAATCCCCTTGCCACCCCCCCCACCAAGTGCCTCACCAGTGTGTGGCACTGCATAGTGGGACCCTGTCTCAAAAAGACAAAGCAAAGAAGTGCTGACAGGAAAACTCAACAGCTGGCTCCTTTGCACCTCTGTACCACATAATCCTTCCAGACCAGGACCTGATGACCATGTAGAAGACCCTCTGGACAGCAGTGGTGATCTCTCAAGACTTTCTTGAGGAAGGACAGGCCCAGGTGTGTGTTTCCCACATCCTGCAGGAAGGGCACAAAGTCCTCTTGCATTAGGTAGTTGCAGTCAGGACTCTTGAGCAGGGTGCACAAACCTAGCTGAGTCATCATGGCAATTCTGTAGGATTTTCTTCCACAGGGCCACCAACTTGTGGATGGACATGGCCAGAGCACCTTCTCAAAATTATTCTCTTGCTCACAGCCACATCGTCAGCCTTGCTTTAGCCTCTGAACCTAAATATAAACCAGCAGCCAGTGGTTCTCAGCCATCAGCCATGGACAGATGGAATTAAAATCACCTGAGCAGGGCCAGTGTCTGCATCAAGAATCTTCCTAGGGGGCTGGCCAAATAGCTTAGTGGATTAAAGTGCCTGCAAGCTGGCACAGGGGCCAGGGGTTCGATCCCAGGCCTGCAGTGCCGGCCCCGCCCCTAGGGCACACTGAGATGGTGATCGGTACTGGGGCTGGTGGTGCATGCCTGTAATCCCAGCTCTTGGGAGGCTGTAAACAGGTGGATCACTACAAGTCTGATCTAGTAGTAAAACCCTGAACACCCTGTAGACCCTTCCCTAAAATACAAAAAAAGAGAATCTTCCTAAGGCTGGCCAGATAGCTTAGTGGGTGGCACGCACCTGTAATACCAGCACTTGGGAGGCTGAAAACAGAAGAATCACTACGAGTCTGATCTACACAGTGAGGCCCTGTAGACCCTGTCCTAAATACAAAAAAAAAAAAAAAAAAAAAATCTTCCTAAGCCCTCAACCCTTAGCCAGCCTGGACTGTTGGCCTTTGTCTCTTAATATTACCTTCTAGTCAAGCCTGCATGGAACCCAGCCCTCTCTGAACTCCTTCCCTCAAATTCATTGATCTCCCATGATAAATTATACTATTCTCAGAATCTCCAGGTTTGCTTATAGATTTAGCCTGCCAGCCAGGTATGATGGTGCACACCTGTAATCCCAGCCATCAGGAGGCTGAGGCAGGAGGATCCACACAAGTTTCAGGCCAGGGTAGCTACATGGTAAGCCACCAATCCCAGACCTTGAAGACCATACTTTGAAATGGATCTGCGTGCTCAATTCTATAATGTCTCGTGCTGACAGCTTCACACTCAATTATAGGTCTGAGAAACAGGATACAGGTTCAGAGAAGTGTAAACCTGAGTTCAGGGATTGGACGGCACTTAATCTGACTCAAGGTACGCTTCCAAGAGATGGGGTTCCACATGCCCTTACATGACACAGGACAGGAGGTAAAGCCACCTAAATCTCAGGACTGCCAAGCTGCCCCAGGCTGTCAGGAACAGCCTACAGTTGATGCCTTGATGCTGGAGAATTCAGAGTCCTTTCTTTTCTTTTTTTTGGTGGGGGTGGTTCCTGGGAATCGAACTCAGGACTTGTGAGGCAGCCACTGCGCCATATCCCCAGCCCCAAACCTTGTAATTTTTGTGTTTGTTTTGTTTTTGCGGAACCAGGGGATTGAACTCGGGCCGTTGCGCTTGCCAGGGAAGCGCTTATTCCACTGAGCCATCTCCCCGGCCCCCCTTGTAATTTTTTTTTTTTATTTATTCATTGTGTGTGTGTGTGGCCAGCTCAGCCCACCAGGGGGCGGGGCTAGCTGGCATGTGGTGCTGGGGATTGAACCGCGGTCGCTGTGCTTTTGCTTAGCTTAGCTTGTTCTAAGTAGGTGCTTTAGACCACTGAGCCATCTCACCAGCCCCCCCCCTTGTAATTTTTAAGTAGTGTATAAATTAGGGGAAGGGGCATAGACAGCCAGACGTAGCACATGCCTGGAAGCCCAGTATTATTGGCAGGCAAGTCAGGCAGAAGACCCAGGCAGCCAGAGAGGCTCCGGGCCCCTGGAAGGCAGGATGACCAGGCCTTGGCCAGATGAGCAGGACCCCAGGGTGAAGGGTCAACAAGCATCAGGTGGACATTAAGCCCAGGGTGTGACGAGCGAGGTGACAAGCTGACAGATGCCCAGAGTGACAACTCTTCTCCTAGCCAGCTGGAAAATGTTTTTCCTTCTCACTTTGTTCCTTTAGTGAAGTTCTTGGACAGCAGAGAGCCCAGGAGACAGCGAGACGCACGCGTGCTGTGTGCCCCGACTCCTCACAGGCCTGTTTCCAGTTTAAGCAAGATGGGGTTTTGGGGGGCGGTTTCTTGTGTTGTTTTGGTTTGGTTTTTTTGAGGGTCTTCTATGCAGTTCAGACTGGTCTTGGGCTTACTTTTGCAGCCGCCAGGCTGGTCTCCAACTTGCAGAGATGCTCCGGTCTCAACCTCCCCAGTGCTGGGATTACAGGCATACACCACCATGCCCAGTTAGGGGGGTGCACAATGGGCACTTGGGGATCGGGGACAAAAAAAAAGGATCAGAGGCTAAGGCAGGAGAATCACCATGAGTTCAAGCCCGGCCTGGGCTATGTAGTGAGTTCAAGGCCAGTCACAACTATACAGAACCAGTCTCAAGAAAGAAAACAGGACGACAGGAATTGATGGCATGTTCTAACTTAAATGTTAGAGTATAGGAACCACCATCAGAATCCACCTGATAGGGAGTATAGAAAGTTAAAAAGAAAAAGAACAGAAAAACAAAAACAACCGTGTGTATTTGTCCTCTCCAGGCCTTCTTCTCGGAGTATCCTCAGCCCGCTTTCAAGAGCCCTGGCCCCTCCCCTCCACACCTCCTCTCCAGTAACCCCGAGCTGTGCAGACCCTGAGCCAGGAAGCGAAAGGCCGAAGGGCCCCGTGTGCCCCAGGCACCATGGCAGTGGCCTCCGATGCACAGGTGACACCCGTCAGGCGCGGGCCATGGGCCCAGGGAGGAGGAAGGGCCTGGCCGCCTCCAGGATGTCCAGCTTGGGGTCCAGCGAGCGGCCCAGCCCCTCCAGCACCATGATGGCAAACACTATGGAGGCGAAGTTGCTCTCCAGCTTCACCTGCAACAGAAGCAAGCGGCAGTTCCTCCT